AAGACGAGGAACTGTTGGCCAATCGCATATACCAGGGTCTTTAACTAAATATGGAATGCTACGAAACACAGAATATTGAAAATTTCGCTTGAGAAAAGTGGAATAGCAAGTTAAATTTGTTATCTAACGAATTAAAATCTTTCTTTATTAATTCCTTTTCTATTTTACCTATAATTTTACCTAAAATAATTCATTTTCTATTTTACGTATTGAACCAAAGTATTTTAATTTTGTTCTCGCTTAATAACAATATTTAAATTAAATTATCTGCGAGATAAATCATAATTCGTACGGAACGTAAGAGAGAAATCTTATATCTTTAATGTTCTTTTTATTTTATATTTTGAACCCAATTGTTCCTCTCAAGTCTATGCGTAACCCGAAATGAAAATTATATTCCAGTAGATATTATTAGAACATAATGTTTAGATGTTTGATTTTAATATTCAGTATATTTATACATTCAATATATTATTTATATTTAAATTTTACTACTCTTAAGTAAATGTACAGTAAATTTTACTCTACACACTTTATAAATAAAATATAAAATTCGAAAAAAATAGTTCAAACGACCTGTTCTTTGCTTCTTTATAAAAACTTCATGCGTATGATTTTGATTTGAATAATTTTTTGTGAAAAATAGCTTGCAGTGATAAATATTCCTCATTGTAGTATAAATTATTTCCTATTTGCATTTTAATATCTCTGATACGAATTTTATACCTCAATCGTCGAATCTAAAAGGCTGAGATCTCCTTCTTTTGCTCAATTTATTTGCAATCTCTTCTTTTGGCCACGCAAAATAATAGCTTTCTTTCTTTCTGACTATACTTTATTATCGAGTGACTTTCATCTCCATATTCAAACAATGAAATGATTTGCATACGAACATACATGCGTTCCATTAGATCGCTCACCATTGTTTGGATCATGAAAAGACTCAACGTTTCGAAACGTCCCGCTTTAACACGCCAGAGAAAGCAGATTGAACAAAGTTGATGGTCGAGGGACCAAACGTTACCATTTTTGTCCTCTCTTACTTCGAATAATCTTCCATGTGTTGAAATTATAATTTCTAAGCTTTTAGTTTGAAGAGCCTGTTCACAGTTTTGATTTTGATTCGAAAGACCTATTGTGCGAAGCTTATTTTATTTACAATAAAATATCTTGCAATTCTCTGTCATCAGATTTTTTTTTAAACTTAATCGTGATAGTCGAGTCTCAATAAAATGCTAATGAAATGTCAAGATTTATGTAATAATAACATGTTGATATAATAATGTATATTTTACAGTGAGTGAACCAAAAGTTCCTTCCCACCTATTTTTTTTTTTTTTAATAAAACATCATATGATTTTCTCATTATGTTTTAAAAATTATTTCTTTCAAGTGTTAATAAAATAAAATAAAATGTTAATGTATTTTATATAATAAAATAAAATGTTAATAAAATAAGATAAAATGTATAATGTATATTTAAGACCGTCATATACAAAAATGACGCAAGATGCAATTGATGATAAATATTTTGATTGATAAATCAAAGAAAAAAAAAAAAA